TAATAAGCTTAGATGTGTTTGATGGCTGCCATCGTTACCAAACCTGGTCAAGCGGTTTTGGGCCGTTTGGAGCATTTCACTAAATAGAAAACCGTGTTTCAATGGTGGAGCATTGTGTTGCCATGGCAACGCATTGGTAGAAAATTTCTCAAAAACTGTATCCCGTAGATGTCCTCACGGCGGACCTGTTAGCACACATATGAAGTTGGAGCCACTTTTTTGAACATTTTCATAAGAGTTATACATTATATTAGGAGGTTACATTACTCTCTCTCTTCTTCTCTGATCGCCCTCTCTCTTTTCTTTGATCACCCTCTTTCTCTTCTCTCTCTCTCTTCTCTTGCTCACCCTCTCTCTCTTCTCTCTCTCTTCTTCTCTCTCTCTTCTCGTTGCTCCGCCTTCTCTTTCTCTTCCCTTGATCACCCTTCTCTCTTCTCTTGATCGCCTCATCTCTCTCTTCTCTCTCTCTCTCTGCTCGCCCTCTCTATCTTCTCTTGCTCGCCCTCTTTCTCTCTTGATCGCCCTTCTTCTCTTCTTTGATCGTCCCTCTTGATCTTCAATGGAAACGGCATATGATGACACCCCATATTGATCGTAGAGCTGTTGAGGGCAGGACCATTAAGCATTATTCTGAAGTCTGCTGCTCTGAGCATGTCAGTTGGAGTGAGACATCATCGTGTTCCATGACACAGGTGTTTATATCTTGAGCTAACGAAGGTGTGCAGAGATCACAGGTTTCCATTGTTCTGAATGAGAGGTAAACCTCCTTACAGTAATAATTAATAATACAGTTGAATATTTATATAGCCGCCCTTTCAAGAAACCCAAGGTCGCTTTACAAGTCGGGTATGGGGGAGTAGGGGAAAGAGGCAGACAGGTTAGGGGGGGGCAAGTAGACGGAAAAATAAACCTATCAAACTAACTATATAGTGGGGAAATGCTTGGTGAAAAGGTGCGTTTTGAGGGCTTTTTTGAAAGTTTCCAGGGTTGGGGCGGATTTCGGGGGGGGAGAGAGTTCCAGAGGGTGGGGGATGCTACACTGAAAGCTCTGTCACCGACAGAATGTTTTGTTGAAGAACCGTAACAGATATCGGTGAAATTTCAAAGCGTGAAGCATCTCAAGGACCTTCAGTTTCTGAAGTGTGCTTTTCGTGTACTTTCGGGTCAATAATGTGGCCTTTTTGGCAGATTAACTAAAGGTGTGCGGCTGCTGAAATTACAATGGGCTTTAATGGAGACATGTTGAAAGTTTTTGTCACTTCAACAAAGTCGTTGGCAAAAGGCAATTTGTTTAATTATTTTTGCCTAATTATTTGTCATTTTTCAAGTTACGAGATGTTTTCCTATGTTTGTCATGAACAATTATGTGTCAGGAATGTAGGGTTTGGGAATTATGGCAGCTTAAAAAAAAAATATGAAGGCAAATTTCAAGATTTCCTACACTCTAGCTGTGTGATCACGCACTCTAGTTAATGTTAAAATCTGAAAAAGGCCTCTTTACCAAGGTCTGAACAATGTTTAATATCTCTAAAAGTAAGAATCAGATTTAAAAGTTGTGTTACACGAATAATGTCAGAAAGATGTGTAACATTTTAAAGTTGGAATGAGGTTTCTGAGTGAAAGTATGAATGAACAGTTAGCAGTTGAATTCGCATGAAGATTTGTTCAAGTCTGAAGATTTTCTCCATTGACTTCAATGGTTCAAAATGTGATGAATTATGGGATGTATCTCTGGAATTATGAAAGTTATGAATGATAAAAGTAATAGCACTTGACGCTTCTGTTTTAAGGGAGGAGCTACCAACATCGTGCTGTATCAGCATTCCAACTAAATAATTGCTATTAGTAATATTTCCAAATATTGCAGCCTTATTATGTATGCATTATTTTCTGGCAGCATCTGTTGGCTTTTTAACATTCCCTTCAATTCCACATAATCACACATTATCATTGTTATTTAGAATGTCTATTTTGTGATTTTATTATGTTGTTTACACAAAACCATTGCATGTCTACCCGTCCTTCAGAGGGACCCCACCTCTATTGCTCTCTCTGAGTTTTCTTCCATTTCCCCCATCTTTGGAGAGTTTTTGGGCTGCTGCAAAGCCCGCTGAGAGAAATGTATGATTTGCATAGATGGAAGAAATACTGAGATGCTTAACTTAAGTACAAGTATACATACTATGGTCTTAAAATACCCCATTACCAGTACAATTACTGGAGTCATTGGATTTTCTATAGAATATTATTATTATGTTTTTATCACCAACAAATAAATCTAATCTATCATTTAAAAGAATTGTAGTTTTTCCAACCTTAGTTACTTCTTAAAATACTTGGTTGATTAGTAGTACAGTACTGCATCATATCACACTATCATATGTGTGTTTTTATATGTGAAAAGTAACAATACGTGTAAAATAAATGAGTCAGATTTGCGTCCAAAATGTTTTTGAGTTGAAGTTTATGTAATAATCAAGTAAATTACAAGAATGTCAAAGTAGCACTAAACTACTTTTTGACATTCAACATTTGTAACGTTTTGTGGTATTGGGCAACATAAATTAAATGTGATAGTTTGATGATGATATGCTTGTGTTTTGTTGCAGATCACATCCCTGCAGACCTGCGGGACCCCTTCTACACGGACCAGTATGACCAGGAGCACATCAAGCCCCCCATCCTGCGGCTGCTGCTGTCGGGGGAGCTGACCTGCCGGGTGTGTGCTCTGATCCTGCCGGGGGGGCAGGCGGCCGCGCTGCACACACACCTCTCCGTCCTGCAGGCGCTCAGCAGGAGGGGCGTCTACGTCCTGGAGGCAGGAAACAGTCCTGTCTCTGACCTGGACCTCAGCTCCTCCCCCATCAAGATGGTGGGTACTGAACAGATTATAGAAGAACATTAAAGCAACAATTCACACTTTCACATGGGGGGGGGCAAACTGTTTTCACTGAGGGCCACATACAGAATAACATACGAAGGGCTGGGCCCCTCATAGAGGGGAGGTATATTGCCTCATAAGTTAAGCTAAGTTATAAGTTAGCTAAATCAATCAAATAAGGGTAAATTGTTCTTGATAATTGAATATGCTCAAGGAAAAAAACAGCCTATATCACAGCTCTCAGTTAACAGGGTTTCATTGTTTTTCATTTTGTCACAAAAAAATGTTGGCAGCTCCTCCCTTAAAACAGAAGCGTCAAATTGCTCCTCAGTCGGGATGCTGCCCCCCCCCCCTTCACAGACCTTTTATAAAGTGAGGACAGTCAGGGGAAATGGGAAGGGTCTATTTCATTCTTGTTATGCAAATAAGTTATTGGGATTCTTTTATCAACTAAGATGTTTTTGTAATATGTTATGTCAATCAATCAACCAATCAATCAATCAATCAATCAATCAATGTTTATTTATATAGCCCAATATCACAAATGTTACATTTGTCTCAGTGGACTTCACAGTTTGTACAGAATATCAGTATGACAATACGACACCCTCTGTCCTTAGACCCTCACATCGTAAAAGGAAAAACTTCCAGAGAAAACCCACAGTTTAAAGGGAAAAATGGGAGAAACCTCAGGGAGAGTAACAG